TAAATATTCAATAAGAACGTGATTACCCTTTGACCTTGTTCCCAGCACAGACACAGATGAAAAAAAGTTAATCGTGTTAATTTGCTGTTTTCTTGTTTAACCTAAGGGGTAACTCAAGGGTCTCAGGGATTTATGAGCCTGTTTTGCAGAAGAAAAAGAATACCTTCAAAGAAGTTATGACCACCAGATAGCCAGCCCCCAGCTGCCATTGATGCCCAGAAGTCAGATTGCCCAAGGGTTTATCTGGAGTGAAGGAAACATGGAATTCCCCTTTGTTTCTCTGAAACTCCTCCTCCCAAGCCCTTTAGCTCTATAAAACTCCCTGGTTTCTTTTTTGTTAAGGTGAGTTTGAGAGAACCTATCCTCCTACCCTCTCATTTGGGCCAATTCAAATAAAACTTTCTCCCTCTCCAAGCACCGATGTCTCAGTGATTGGCTTATTGCACATTGGGCACATGAACTTGAGAGTAAGAGGTACGGTATAAAAGTCATTCTTGATGATTCTCCAGAAGTAGATGGACCCTGGGGCTTCCTTCTCTGCTTTTCTCTTCCTCCTCTCTCCTGCCTGGCTTCTTCTATAAACCTGAACAACCTGGACCGTTGGCCCAAGTCTACGTGTCTCCAGAGCCTGCCATTACCAGGAAGGAGTGTTAGAATCCCTTAATACAAATCTTTAAGAATCTGACCAGCTTAACCCAATTTACAGTTTGATACCTTTAGCAGAGCCTGCTAAAACTTTGACCTTTACATTGTCACCAAGCCAAAAGATTACATTCCCAGCTTACCTTGAAACTCAGTGTAGGCCTGAGGCTAAATCCCATGCAATGAGATATAAGCAAAAGTGGTGTGTGAGTCTTCAGGGAAGTTTCCTCAGGGGGTGTATGTGATGATGTGATGGCTGGAGCTCCGACTGCCATCTTGGAGCCACACCCTTGAGATAGCAGAGTGTGGGCAGGAAAAGCCTGGGTCACTGATGACGTCCCCATACCAGCCCTGGACTGCCTACATCCAGGCCTTTTTTATGTGAGAGAGAAACAAATGCCCATCTTGTTTAAGCAACTATTTGGGGCAGTTTCTGTTACTTACAACTGAACCTAAACCTAACTGATAGTTTCCTCTGATGCAATAAGCTGTGACCAGAGAGTCAGGGCACCGGGGATACTGCCCAGATAGTGAGCCCCTAGGTCGGAGCAGATATCCCAGGAAAGGGGACAGGGCAGAGCAGACAAACCATTTGGAATATTCACTACAATGGCTGAGTTCCATTGCCAGACCACTTGGGTCTGAATGGAAGGGAAATACTAGGAGGCATGAAAAGTTTTGGAGTGGGCTGATATCTTAGAACACACAGCAGGGTGAAAATTATAATTCAAGGGAAACAGGCTCTGAGTGGTGGAATTGTGGGTAACATGGCTGCAGGCCATGACCAGATGGAAGTTAATTGTTCCTCTAATAATTGAAGAGACATTGGTTACATTTTTTTCAGGGATCTGGTTAACTCATTCCCTTTGGCTACTTAAGGCTGTGATTTACAGGCAGCAAAGTCGCTTAGGATAATAAAGCCCCCAGGCCTGGTGGCAAACTGCTGAGATTTTTCAAGAAGAAAGAGACCACTTAAACATCTCAATCAGCTTTTCCTGAGTGAATGACATCCGGAGGAAACAGGTTTCAAATGTGTGTCCGTCATTCACACCCTCAGTAAGAAAGATGAGAGGAATCAAGAAAAAATACTCTGAGTGCTACATTCATTTCAAATATCTGACAAGTTATGAGAGTCCTGGAACAGGATTCCCAGAGCTACAACTCCTACAGGACACAGGTCCCACTATCATTTTTTTCCTCTTCTCTAAAAGCTCTTAATGGATTGAGAAAAATTGGTTCAAGTATCAATTGATTTGAATGCATCTATTCAATAAAAGGAAGAATATAATACATGTCACTTTTTGAAATAGCCTTTCTTCTGTACAACCATGTCCTACTGGGCTCTGGCCCTTCTGTTTAACTTCTTTTCTTTTTAAGTGAATACAGGCCTAAAAGTATGTACATAACCTCTGTCTGCTGAAGAAGCACGGTGCCTGCAATGCTGGCGCCCTCAAAGCTGCCGTGTCCCTCTGGGTCATAGACGCAGGAGGTCCGAGCTCAGCACAAATGTCAGACACTTGAAAGCAGGGATTTAAGAAAGAAATAAATTGTTCTCCATGTTCAGGGAAAAAAAAAATTTAGTGGTCTGTAATAGAAAATAGAGGAAAAAATAAATAAAGTAGTCCATTCTCCGGCCTCAGCACAGATCACCAAAGACTTCAATTTATATAAACAGGAAATCTTTGTTGAAATAAAAAATGCTCAGCCAAATAAGAAAAATAATGGCTATTTATTTATTCAGAGCTTGCTACTGCAAGGGAGTCAGCCACTGTCACTCCAAGGTAGGCAGAGGAGTGGGGAAGTTTTATAGGGCAAAAAGAGAGGACTTCAGGTGTGTCCTGAATGGAGGCTGCTGGCATGGGGAAGCTGTGGGTGGGTTAACTAGAAGTGGGGCATCCTCAGCGATTGGTTGGGGGTGCATATATTGCTTTTTCTGATTGGTCCTAAGTTAAAAACAGAACAAAAATTAGGGAAGCTGTCTGTTATTAATCAAGTCCTGGCCATTTGGGGCCAATTGTTACAGAAATCATGATTTAGGCTTCTGGATTGTTTCTAGAGATAGCAATCTGGCTCCTTGCAAATCTGACCGTAGTGGACTGGCTCCTTGGGCTGGTTATTGTAGACAAGGGGTTGGTTTCCTGGGCAGGTTGTGGGTCAGATTTCTAGTTTTATTTATAGTCTGGCCATTGTCCATTTGTATATTCAGTCTCTCATCTTTCAGACAAAGATTTGTTTTTTTTTTTTTTTTTGGTGAGGAAGATCAGCCCTGAGCTAACATCTGCCAATCCTTCTCTTTTTGCTGGGGAAGACCAGCCCTGGGCTAACATCCGTGCCCATTTTCCTCCACTTTATGTGGGACACCGCCACAGCATGGCTTGACAAGCGGTGCGTCGGTGCGCCCCTGGGATCCGAACCGGTGAACCCCGGGTCCTTGCCGCGGAGTGAACGCACTTAACCGCTTGCGCCACCGGGCTGGCCCCTCAGACAAAGATTGACAGCTGTCTCCAGGCAGCTGACCTACAGCTAGCAAGGTGATTCCCAGTATCTCTAGAAAGCCACTTTGGGAAAGAGCTAATTCCTACCACTTTGCCCAAAAGTGCCTAAGGACACACCTGCTTATGTGAGCACATCCCTCTTAGCTCAATGCCCCAACACAGCGAGGAAGGAAGGGAAGGATGGTTGTTATGGCAGTGATGGAGCCCTGTGGGAAGAAGAATGAAACAGTGCTCAGTGACTCCCAGCCAGGCCGTTGGATAGAACCCCGTGGGCAGCTTTGAATAAACACTGATGCCGGGCCCCACTCCACTCCCACAGATTCTAATTTAATAGAGCAGGTTGTGCATCAGTAGTTTTTCAAAACTTCCCAGGTGATTCCAACGTGCAACCCAGATTGGCAGCCACTGACAAAATTTATAAACCTTTGAGGGACACTGGGAGCAAATATTTAGCAATTAGTGACAACGAAATTGGGGCATGAAGCCATGATCACTTTCTCAAGAAGCCTCTAATCTTTCAGTCTTGTAATGCTGGGCTTTAGAAATATAAAATGCAGAGTAAAATTAAACTAGAGTAATAGTTCAGGTCGTTGCAAATAGGCAATGGTCACAGAGTGTGAGCATATCTACAGGAAATGAAAATGCTGCAGAATCCAATCTGTGGGCATAAGGAACAGAGAGGACGCTTAAAACTGTAAAACAACTGAAGTATACCTATTCTGAGCAGCAGTCTTCATTTTTATTTTTAACTATTAAAAAATTTATTTTCGGGCCGGCTTGGTGGCGCAAGCTGTAAAGTGCGTGCGCTCCACTGCGGAGGCCCAGGGTTAGCCAGTTCGGATCCTGGGCGCACACCAACGTACTGCTTGGCAAGCCATGCTGTGGCTGTGTCCCATATAAAGTGGAGGAAGATGGGCATGGATGTTAGCCCAGGGCCAGTCTTCCTTAGCAAAAAAAGGAGGATTGGCAGATGTTAGCTCGGGGCCAATCTTCCTCACACACACAAAAAATTTATTTTCCCTCTTTAAAATGCCATTTATCATAACATTATTTCTTACAGATTGTGTGCCATGAGTGCGTGTGGGTGCGCACATATTTTCAGTCTACCTGAGCTTGTACGTTTCTCAAATACTTGAAACAGAATTTAGAACAATTGCATTTTGGGCTTGTAAACTCCCAAACCTCAAAAGAATCACACACATACTCCACACACCCCGTATCCACTTTTTATTTCTAGTCATTTCTAAATTTTCGAATTTACAGATGTATCTGAATTTGATACACCACCACCCCCTGGTGGAAATCTATAGAAAAGAACCCGCACTTGATTTAATTGGGAACTTGAGTAGCTGAGAGGGACGATTAAGACATTCCAGTACTAGTTCTGGTTCTGGAGTGTGCTCTCTCTCTCTCCCTCTTTCTCTCTCCCAGCACAACGTTATTGTCAAACAAAACCATATGCAAAAGCTTAACGAACAAAACAGTAAAAACGGAGCTGTGCTGGGGGCTTTCTCGTTCCCTTGTTCTCATTGCCAACCCCACATCTCCCCCCAGGATGTCCAGATAGAACTTACTATCACTAAACATGTCGTCTCCCCAAAAAATTAAAATTAAAATTACGTCTATTTCTCCCAAGCTTTCCTACCTCAATGAATAGCACCTCCTCTACCATTGACTCAAGCCAAAAACCCTCCTGAGTGTTCACAATGCACATGAGCAGATTAGAGGCTCTGAGTAAGCCCAAGTCAAGACACCAGGTTAGATTGATTTAATTCAGCAATTTCCAAACAAATTTTATTATGAGACACATTCTCCTTCCTCCTCAATACTTTTTAGCAACTTACAGAAAACTCTTTGGTTATATTTCATTTAGAATGATTGTTCTGTTTTAATTAGCAAATTAGCTCTTTGGCTACACAAGCTATTCAATCCTGAAAAATGCTTGGGCGAAGTCAACCATCCAACAAGCCAGCTCTCAGTCATTTGTGGTAATGGAAAGTACGCCCCTTAGGTGATTGACCCCAGACAGCTATTGAGTTGATGCCACTTCTGTAGGCAACTTCATCCCTTTCTTCTACGATCATTACCAGCCAAAGGGAGGAAGAGATTGCCACTAGGATTAGCAGGAATCACGCTTTGTCTTCCATCAAATGTAATAAGCTTGAATTGCGTGATCACTGTGTAAATTTATTTAGAGGGATTATAGTGTTCATTTGACTACAACCTAAGAGCATCATGGGCAGCTCTGCAACTGACAGGGAGTTAGTTAAGTGTTTTCCATACATTATTTCCTCCTGTGGATTTATGAGCCAAAAAGTATTAAAATCTCTACAGCTTCCAGCATCCATATAAATTAGCATAGATCCCTGGACACCAGATCTAAAAGAAATCTTACACTATAGCAAGTATTTTTAACAAAAATAGAGCTTTATGCTCTATGTCATTAGTACTGACTTAAGTCTAGTACTAGATTAGATTAGTACTAGTCCTAAGTCTACTGATACATATTGCATTATTTCTAATTTTGAAAGCAAAGTCATGTTTAATTAAATTTTCATGCAATGGAAAAGTTATTTAAAGGTGTTCTGGTGCTTAAATTGTATTTTGATCAATAGTCTGCAGGGCCATTTGCTGTCATTTCGTGTCATCTACAGCTTTGACTTGGGACTGGGGGTCCTGAGGTCTTGGGCACACTCACTCACCAGCTGGGCGGCCTCCAGAGCAGTGCCCCAGTGCATGGAGAAGCCCCCGCTCCCGTGGCCATAGTGGTGCACCACAGGCAGCCTCCGGCCCTCCCGGGCTAAGAGCTCTTTCTGCAGCCGTATGCCTGGCCTGGAGGGCCTCAAGCCCACCTTCTCCCTCATGTTGCGGGCTCCATGGAGGGAGGGCTCAAGAGCACAGCATCGGGAAAAAATATCTCTGCTAGTTTCTGCATCTGGGGACAGATTCCAGTCTCCTTTTTGCCTAGTTCCACCCAGGGTTACATCGGATGCACCCGGGTAAATATATGTCAGCCCACTCCCATCTCGGATAAAATGTTTCAACCAGGGAGCCTGAACTTTGAGCACTTGGCCCCTCACGGGGAAAATCTTCGAGTCTCCCGCAAGCTGTCTGCTTCCAAGGCCTGAACAGTTGACCACGATGTCAAAGGATGGGTGAAGCTCCCACAGGTCTTCTATCCGCTGGGTGAGCATCAGGCCCCCACTTCTTTTGATCCTGGGGAGAACGAGAGACCTGAGGTGAGCCTTAGGTGCCTCCTGCTCAACCCCTCATGGGAAGTGACAGACAGGATCACGGAAGCAAGGGGCCCCGGCAGGCCAAGTTCCAGCCATCGACCAACCCACATCCTAGGAAACTGGGGATTCCTAAAGATGAACCTAAATAAAGACCTATTTCAAAAATTCGAAACAAAAGAAATTGTGTGTCTTGTCCTTTTTATGTTTAGTAGAGTTTCCATATCATTCTAGATGCTAAATAAATACCAAGTTAATCTGGCGTTTTAAATACCCAAGCATTTCTTGTTTATGCCATTTATTTAGCACCTAAATTTACTGCCTGGGACATTTTGTCTCATATTGTTAACTCTTGCATGTTCCTTTGTATTAGTCAGGTCTCCCTAACTAGATGGTTGGGACAGGGGACACATGCTCCCTCCTTACATCTGCCACAGGGATGTTAGCATGAGAGGAACACAGAATATTCGCAGCTGATGGAATAAATGACAGTTGCAGTTGATAATGATTTTTTGGACAAAGTGCATCAATAACAAAAAGAAATAGAATTCTTTCTTTTTTTAAATTGGGGTAAAATACACATAACATAAAATTCACCATTTTTGACCATTTTTAGGTGTACAGTTCAATGGTATTAAGTTTAATACATTCACATTGTTCTGCAACCACCACCATTCATCTCCAGAACTTTTTTCATCTTGCAAAACTGAAATTCTGTACCCATTAAACAATAACTCCTAAACCCTATAATCTTATTCACAGGTCACTTGTAGAGGATATAATGTGAAAAAAAGACTATCAGCGGCTCTGTTCAACAGATGCAGGTTGGATGCCTGGATGCAAGGTACTGCTAAGAGGGCCCTAAAATGTGTGGGCTCTTCCTCAAGAGCTGACAAAGGAGCTGGGAGATGGGAGTGTAAATACTTGGCAGAATGAAGTAAGTTCCGAATGAGTGGTGATGTAGAATCAGAAAGCATGGGTTTATGTCCCAGTTCTGCCTCACATTAACTTTAAGGTCTTGGCCAACTCAGCTCACTTCTCTGACCCTCAGTTTCCTCATCTGTGTCATGGGGGTGATACCTCACTTGCCAGACTAAGAGGATGGCTGTGAAGTTCAAATGAAATAATGGGCATGACAGTACTTCGAAAGATATTAAGCACAATACATTCTAGGGGACTGATATTAATAAATTATAAATTTATCAAGGGCAGAGACCATGTCTTATGCTGCTATGACCCAGCTCAGTGCCCAGTACCTAAAGGGCTTGACATAAGTGTTGGCCAATACTGAAGACAATGTGAAATCCTGGTTTGAGTGTATGACGGTTAATTTTATGTGTTGACTTCACTGGGCCATGGGGTGCCCAGATATTTGGTCTAACATTGTTCTGGGTGTTTCTGTGAGGGTAGTTTTGGATGAGATTAACATTTACATTGGTAGACTGAGTAAAGCAGATTGCCCACCCAAATGTGGGTGGGCCTCATCCAATCAGTTGATGGCCTGAATAAAACAAAAAGGCTGATCCTCCACTTTCGAACTCGGACATCAGCTTGTTCCTGCCTTCAGACTCAAACTTAAACATTGGCTTTTTCTGGGTCTCAAGCCTGCCAGCTTTCAGACCAGAACTACACCATCTGCTTTCCTGGGTCTCCAGCTCGCCAACTCACTCTGCAGATCTTAGGACTTAGCCTCCATAATATCTACACATATACTTTATATATACTATATAGAGAGATAGACGTCAATATATATACATTCTATTGGTTCTGTTTCTCTGGAGAACCCTGACAAATACTGAGTGGTGCCACACTGGCACCCTCTCTCTCCAACAGCTGCAACTCAGGCCTGTTCCAGGGAGAATCTGGGAAGGGCTGACACCAGAAATGTGGGTAGAGTGTTGTTGCCCTACCTGCCCTTGAGAGAGCAGAAGTGGTCATGCCAACAGTTCTGAGTACCATCTGCCTTCAAGGCCAGATAAAGAGAGGTTTAAGGCTGAAAGGAAGCATATGACAAGGCAGAAACTTCCAGAGCATAAATAAGAGATGTCTGTGAAAGTGGTAAACAATGGCATGGTTTGACAGTCGATTTTAACTTAGCAAGGAGAAACTCTTTGAAGTGATTCCAACTTTCCACTCCTACTTCTTGACTGGAAAGTTCAATTGAAACTTGCATTAAGATCAGCAGGGGGCCGGCCCCGTGGCTTGGCGGTTGGGTGCGTGCACTCCGCTGCTGGCGGCCCGGGTTCAGATCCCGGGCGCGCACCGACGCACGGCTTCTCCGGCCGTGCTGAGGCCGCGTCCCACATGCAGCAGCTGGAAGGATGTGCAGCTATGACATACAACTATCTACTGGGGCTTTGGGGGGAAAAAAAAAAAAGATCAGCAGGAAGCTGGCTGTCTTCTGACACTGGTTCCCATTTCTAGAAAGTGCTGCAAATGGATGAGAATGGAAGACACCCATTGCTGCTCACTGCATCTTAGATCCTGACCCCAACAGCTCAGTTTCCTATTCTGTAAAATAGCAGCATTGGCTTATATCAGTGGCTTTCCACCTTCTCCCTCATCTGGCTGAAGGGTGAGATGCTGGGGGTGGGGAAGAGGGCATGGGTGGCCTGAGCAGGTCTCCATCTTCTCAGTCTCTGCATCCCACCCCAGCCCCTGCTACCCTACCTCTGAAGTATCTCCACTGAACAAGAACAGTTGGAAGCCTCTGGATTAGGTACATTTATTATTCGACAAATATTTGCTGAGGGCCTGTACTGTGCCAAGCAGAGCTAGGCTAGAAGAACTCGAAGGCTACCTCTTGCTCTAAGATCATACGAACAGGTGGTGCGTGTACTATTAAATGCAAGCTGTTATTTCAAGCAGCAATGCTCCAAACCACAGAACTTAAGCTCTACGCACTGGCATTTGTACTCTATGCCACCTTGCTCGTTATTCTGAAAATCCATGGAAGACAGTGTGTCATTTACCCGAGACAAGGAAACCAAAGAAAAAAACCTGGCAACATCCACACTTTAGGGCCCCTGAGAACCTATAAAGCCAATAGACTACTTTTTGGTGTAACTAAAAGTGGTTAAAAGAGAGAGAATGAGGCTGGGGCTACTGTCTTGTTTGTTTCTTTTCTAAGTAAAATAGTTCACAGAAAGTATTTCATGCAGAAAATTTTATGGTCACAAGTTTTCAACTCTCTCAGTGGAATAAACAAGTTGGCAGCTTAAATTATGTTTTTTAAAAATATAACAATAAATGAGTGTTTTTAAAGGTAAGATCACTGTGTAAAGTTTCTTTTTTTCCTAACACTGGCATAGAAAGAGGAGTAAATTGGAATTTTGTGGCATTACCGACATTTTGCGGTGTGTTTATAATCTTTAGGATAGTGAACATACAGAAAAGACTTTTACAAAGAGTTTAGGAAGGCTCTACCCTTGACCAGTCATATGACCTTGGTCAAGTTACTCAACTCTAAACTTTAATCCTCCATCCACAATTTGGAAATAATAATACTGACTTCATAGGCTCATTGTGAAAATAAAATGAGATAACATTTGGAAGAAGGCTAACACGGTGCATAATACACTGCAGTTGCTCAATAAAGGTATTTTAATAAGAAAAAATAGGGTTTAGGGATGTGTTACACTACAGTAAGACCTGGTATCTCATATATGAGTATGCTTGCCCTCCACACCCATATATCATTTACGTTTAATTATGTTTTAGAGCCTCTAAGAATGACATTTGGATTTTAAAAAAATGTTTTCTATTGATCGTTATTTGGATATTATTTGGTTTTGCTTTTAACAGATTGTGAATTCCATGTGTTACTACTTAAACATTATGTTCCATATTCTAACCACCACATTAGAACTCAGAATTATTTCCTAATTCAGAGAAATAAAGGAATTTACCAGCCTTGAGATTTGAGCAAATTTCTTAAACTCACTGAACTTGTTTCCTCAACTATAACCTAGGGATAAGAGTGCTGAGCTCACAGGGTTTTTATGGTGATTACGTAAGAATTCAATAAATACAAATGTCCTTCTTTTCTGCTTCAAGGGCACCCTGCTAGTTGAGCTACTAATGAAAGTCCACCCCTTACCTGGAGACTTCGTAAATTATCATAGGGAATGGGCTCTTGGAAGTCAGGCTTGCTGTACTGGGTCCCTCCCAGGCCTTGTATTCCAGGGAAAAACTTACTGAACGTGCCCAGGGACCAGTCATCCTTGCGCTGTTGCAATGTGACCGCGTGGTGATGCCCCGTCATTATTGTCTATGCCCCGGGCAATGCATCAGGATGACACCAGGTGTAGGAGGGCACTGGACTTGGAAGCTGGATGTTAAACTGGGTGACCGGCACCTACAAGGTGCTTTTAGAACCATACGATGCAGTTATTCTGGAGGTTTAGGGTGACATAGTGGGGGGTATAAGAAGTTTGGTGACTTTCCTCTTGGGGCTTCCTGCAACTGAGTAAGACCTCATCCTGGATAGGGAGAATACTATCGCCCTAAACTCCTATGAGGAAATGGGGGATGGAGAGATTCAAGAAGCCGTGCCCACTAAAGCCCCAGCCCAATGTCCTCTGCCCATCACCCTAAAACCTAAGAGCGCGTGTTTTCATCAAACCGAAAGTCAGCCCTCTGCTGGACTGCATCAGCCTGACCCATAAACACGGGGATGGTTGTCTTCAGGGCCCTTCCTTCAGTTCACTGGGAGTTTGAGCAAGAAGGGAAATTGAGCAGACTGTGCCACTGAGAAGAACACGGGCTCCAATAAGCATTTCTTTAAACACACACACACACACACACACACACACACACTCACACAACCTCCCAGGAGCACAGGGGAGTCCCCTCATTCCCTCCATTCTCCTGGAACTAGAGGCAACTCCTGCACTCCACCTCCTATCCCCTGCCACAGCCCAAGCTATGTGAGAGAGGAACCCTGGGCAGCTCTAAACGGGGAGGTGGGGGTTCTGGTGTGGA